GCATCATTTCTCTACAAATTTGACTTATGCAAATTTGTGACATTTTGCCACTGGTGGTCACGAAACTTTTTATTTTGTAAAGGCAAATCCGGAGTACCCAGATTTTTTATTTCATATTCTGTTAATATAAGAGCTGAACTTTGTCCTAGTATACATTTTGGCTAGGTATCACACATACCAAGGTGAGTTTTTTGCCTCTGAAGTTGCTCATTTTTTAGCCGTTTTAAAAAGTGCGCTTAGTGCTAGTTTTTAAAAAACCGTAAAAAATTCCAAATAATGTTTTTGACTTAAAACATACCATGGATAGAAAGAAAAGATAGAATTCTTTTAAACAAAAATATTTCTGTTTTATAGCTTTGAATCTTGCCTCGGTACAGACGCGATAAAGTAGGTCATTTTTACTCTAATTTTTGCATAATTAATTAGGTAAAAACCGCTATTTTAGTTTTTCCTCATTTTCTCGAAAACTAAAGATTCTTGAAAGGTGAAAATATTTTTTTCGAAGATAGTTCCCCAAAGGGGTTTTTCTGACAAATTATCAGAATTTTCGATTTTTTTAGCCTGGCCAGCGATTCTCGATATTTACAGTCATGGGCTCTTAAACAGCTAGTTTCGCTCTCTGCACCAAGGACTTAAACATAGCAACCGACGAGGAACTGCATTCTTGCAGAATTCAAAACATTCGCATAGACACAACAGTAAAGTCAGTAAATTTCTACTAAGGAACAACAAGACATCGCGCTTTTGTTTTAAAGACTCACCTCTGATCTCAAAAAAAATTAAATGGACTGCATCAGGCTATCAGTGGTTAGAGAATGATCTTGACTCACGCAGAGCACAATTCTCCATGCTTGGCCGGTAGCTTCAGTTTAAGCAACCGTGTACGACTCGAATCTGATCTCACTATCCAGGGCTTGAAATTGTGACTAGTACGGTCGCCAATGCGACTAACATTTTCTCCTTGGCAACTAAAAATGCTCCTCTCGCTGAAATTGATGAGAAGCTTGAAAGACTATTAAAGTTAACAGACGAATTTGAAACCTACAAGAGCCGAGTTAAATCCCTCGAAGGTGAATAGAAAAGCATGCAAGAAATCCTCGGAAGTTCTCTAACTGAGATAAAAGAAATACAAGGTCTACTAGATAACATCGCTGAACAACAGAAGACCACTGAAGCTTTTCTTCAACGCGTCCAACGTGAACTCGCCGAATTGCAGCGCCGTCATATTAAATTAGAGTGTCACAGCCGCCGAGGTAATTTGAAATTCTATGGAATAAAAGAACGCGAGCATGAATCGAACGAAGACACAGAAGATTTATTGAGGAAATTTTTACGTACCGACTTAAAGATCCCTAAAAAGGACGAGGAAAGTATTCAGTTCGATAGAGTGCACAGAGCATCAGCTCGTCGAGAATCTTCTGGCACTACGAATTCCAAGCCACGACAGATTATTATCACGTTTTCCAGCTTTCACCACAAAGAGTGTATTAAAACATTCATCAAAAAGCTTACGAAAGGCCGAAATCTTGGAATTTCCGACGACTTTCCAAAGGAGGTAGAAGAAATGAGGAAAAAGCTCGCACAGTACCCAGTATTAAAAGCCGCCAAGCAATGAAGCAAGAAAAGCGTACTGCATTTTTCAAGGTAGAAAGGCTCATTATAGATGGGTCGCTTTACCGCGGCCCAGAGATACGGACATTTAATCGACGTATAAATTAGCTCTAACATTTTTGTTATTATTCGATTCAAGGCCATATTTTAGGGGCCTGTTGTGTGCTTTACAAACGAAATTAGCTTGATGCTGATGCGCAGTCAGTCAAGTCGCCGCTCAAATCCAGAGGTAAGTCATGGGAGTTTTTGTTCGTACGTTTCGTGTTTTTGTTTTCTTTTTTGTTTCGTCTTAATTTTTGCGCAGTCAATTTTGCCTCCCTTCCCTAAAGGGGAAAGCGATCTAGGCCATATAAATTTATACTTTTGTCTATGGATTGTGCCACACGGGCAAGGGAAACTATTTCAATTAATAATTGAGCAATAAAAATGTCACATAAGCTATTGAAACTTAATGTAAGAGGGTTAAACAGTTCTAGAAAAAGAGGACAGGTTTTTCGATGGTTGCACCTGCAACGATCTTGTTGATAGGAGACAATTCTCTCGTTGTATCATAGGGGTCTGCGGTGTTCCGCGTGAGCCGTACTGTATGTGTAAAACGGAAATGGCTGCATGTGCTTTGAGAATAAAGTGTTGTGTTCTCGAAAGTTGTTGTTCCTTTGATGGAAGCTTTCCCAACCAGTCAACATACAAAACATGGTGTCAGACGAACACGCGCCTAAAGTCAGGAGGTTTCGTCCATAGTACGGTCAGTTTATGTTTGAGAACGAACTCTGGGAGTTGTACGAATTGTTCCCGCCATTTTCGGATGTTATCAAGCTGGTGCCCGTATAAATTGTTTGTGTTTGCTGTTATCATGGCCACCGCTCCAGTGGGTTTTCCTGTCCCTCAAATGCAAGAGCGTCTAGATAAGCGAGAAGCTCTAGACTGTTTCATATTGGATTGTATTGATTATTGCACGGTGCTTTGGGATGGTTCGAGCGGAAAGACGGATGTAAATATGACGATCAAAGCGAGGATGGGAAAAAACAATGGAGGAAACAAAACCTTTGCATGTCAACACTTCCAGCAATTCTGCCTTCGAAGATGAAGAGATTGATTAATCCAAACAACAAATTGCTGGGACTACCCGAAGAAGATAAGAGTGACGCGGTGAAAGTTATTAAAGCCCTCATTAAGCGCTTTGAAGGCAGTGTCAGTGTTCAAGCTGAGCGAACGAAAATGGGACGCATGTTTCAGTCCGAAGGAGAATCCATTAGTGCGTGGGAATGTCGAGTGGTGGAATGAGCTAGATATTGTGAATATGGGAATTTTGAAGATCAAGTATGCCGCGACCGTTTTATTACTGGCTTAGTGGACGAAACTTTACAAGGAAAGTTGAATACTAATGATGATCGTGACAAGGATGGTAACATTGTGGAGTTCCGTACTGTGGTTGAAATAGCGAAGAATTATGAATCCTCCACTGACGCTCGAAGGCTGATGAGGCAAGTCCGTGGAGATCAAGAGCAGGTGAATTGGCAGGGAATTGGACCGAAAAAGCCTCCCAGTCAAAGCAAAACAGCACTCGCTCTCAAAGCCAAAGCAATGGCAAAGAGTTGTCTAGAAAACAGTCTGAGTGTAACCACTGTGAGGCGACACCGAGTCACCCAAAGGAAAAGTGTCGTGCATTTCTCTTTAAGTATAAGTGCAGACAATGTGGCAAAGAATGGCATATAGCTCGGAAATGTTTGTGCTAACCTCAGAACGTGAATTCATTGGATGATTCAGTTTCTGATGATGGGCAAGAAACATATCATTTGTTTACTCTGGACACTCACTCTGTGAGATCGGTATCTGTACAGAAGGGGAACAAGTTTTTCGCGGGGATCAAATTATCCGCAGCAAAAAAATGTTTACCTGGAAACCTTTGCAATTAGATACTGCGTCAACAACCAACACCCTTGCAGTGGAGGACCTTCGGAGCATGTGTCCAGCAGGGGTTTATATCCATGGCCTAATCAAACCCTCCTCTGCCATCCTGCGTACCTATGGAGGAGTTGTAATAAAGCTAGTGGGGCAAATAGAATTGGTCTGTAAAACTCAAGGAAAGTTTCACACTCTTCAGTTTCAGCTGTTAAATAAGGACGTCATGGGATCACAGCCACCTCTTCTAAGTGGATCTGATTGTGTTAGATTAGGCCTGGTTGAGATAAAAGGAAACACCTGCTCCTTGGATCGTAACAACCAAAAAGGGGGTGCCTCAGAAGTGTGCCAGCTTAACTCGGGACCTGTGCGAGGAAGAGTGGAGGAAAGTGGAACTCCTGATCAGGAAGTCAGGCCCGCCTCACTGAATGGCAGTGCAACAGAAGAGATTAATCTAACTGAGGAAACCACCAGCACCTCTCAAGTACATGGTACGTGTGAGGATATTAGTTTAGTTCACCGTGCTGTAATCAATGAAGAAACAGTTCGTCTAAAGAGGAGCATGGCTAGTGAGGTGGGTGTGTCCCATGTGCCTGTCCCCTGGGGAAAACTGACTAAAGCCATTGTCATGGATGCCTTTAAGGATGTCCATACCGGGTTAGGAACTTTGGGGCCATCCCTGCCCATCAGCATGATCCCTAATGCGCTGAAAGCGGTGAAAGCATGATTCACCGGGCTCGAGAAGTAGTGTACTGGCCTGGAATGCAAGCTGCAAGCTGCAATCCCTCAAGAGAGTGCCAAATGTTCATTGTGTGCTAGCTATGGTTCGGCCCTCCCAAAGGAACCGATGTTGTCTCATGAAATTCCACCAGGTCCATGGAAATTTATCTCGCAGGACATATTCAAGCAGGGTGGGCGTTGGTATTCTGTTACCCTAGATCACTGCAGTGACTGGTTTGAGGTGGATCTGTTGAATGAAGACATCACTGCTGCCAATGTTATCTCAGTCACAAAGGCGCACTTTGCCCGTTATGTTATAGCAGATATATTTTTGTCCGACAATGGGCCTCAGTATGCCGCTCAGGAATTTTCGAATTTTGCCAAGACCTATGGTTTCAAGTTGATTACCCGGTCACCGTTTTATGCTAGAGCTACCGGTAAAGCTGAAACTGCCGTTAAGGAGGCCAAGAAGATGTTAAAAAAAATCAGACCTTTCCACTGGTCTCTTGGACCATAGGAACACTCCGCCTCAGGGTATGACTTACTCCCCGGCACAAAGGTTTCTTTGCCGACGAACAAAGTCTAACTTGCCAATATCTGAATCTTTGTTGAGCCAACCTGTGCCACCTGTAAACGTAGTCCGTGACGAGCATCTGGGTAGGCCAGCTAAAGCCAAAGCTCACTATGACAAAACTGCTAGCAGAGAGTTACCCCCTCTTACGCCTGGACAGTTTGTGTACACCAGGCCAAATGACCATCACCATGGTGAACAGTGGGGTCACGGCGAAGTCTTGGGCGAAGTAACACCACGTTCGTACGTGATAAAAACGTAAGACGGGTTGGTTAGACGGAACAGGATCCACTTAAGACCTAATGAGCCTCAGGTCCCCTGAGACCCACAACCCTTGCCAGAACAATTAGTGACAGATAGTTGTGTGGATGTCGGAAATTCTGCGGAAACTATAGTGCCTAACCGCACTTCAGAGTCCACTTATGAGAATTCACTTCCGACAGTGCAAACATCGCGTTATGGCCGGCCAATTAGACCACCAAAGAGACTGGACCTTTGAAACTGGGGACTAGAGTGCAGTATGGTACTCGATGTTGACTATTATCTGACATTGCCTGTTCACATTTGTTTGTATTAATGACTTATTATGTTTTTTTTTTTTTTTTTT